ATATTTACAAGAAGAATTCCTTCTTTTTTTCTTGTTGCCTTCCCTGATCCTCGCATTCGTAAAGATCTAGAGAATCGAGACTCGAAAGCCACACAACACAGCAGTTCTTAATTTCATAAATGAAATTTAATATGGTTTTTATTCAATATTTATTTCATTTTATTGTGATATTTATGAAGACACGCGTTCGGCTGGCACACAATTTATTTTAATATGGTGAGAATTAGTATTTTAAAACCAATAAAAATTTAAATTTTTAAGTCATTAAGTAAATAAATTGTAGCAGAAACAATAAATTAAACGTTTATGTATTTAAACAAGCGTAAGTTATGAGTTTAAAATTGAGATGAAGATAAAAGATAAATTTTCAGGTTTGCAAGGCTTTGAAAATTTCATCGAGTTCAGGAAGTGTTGCTGCTGTGTTGACTTTTTATTTGAACTGACTTTAAGAAATTCTAATGAAATTTGTTGAGGAATCTTAACATAAAAACACCACATAAACTCAAAACATGTTGTGAAGCCACTTTGCTTGTTGCTCTTCTACCGAAATCAAACAAAACAAATCAAGATTCTTGAGATTTTTCTTTCCATTTCGCTTTATTTCTCTTTTTCGGAGATTAATTGATTATCAATTTAATAAATTCACATGATACTTGATTTATTACCCTAAACAGCATAGAACGAATGCTTAAGATTTAAATTATGTTTCTTCAAGAAAAAAATTAATAAAATCCAGTAGGAGAAAATTGAATGTTAAAATAATTTTGATTTGAATAATCTGGCGATTCTTCATTGCTTTTATTGATATTCATTATTCATTTGAGCGTTTCCATGTACAACATTAGCAACTTCTTTCATTTCGCAGAAAGAAGTCTATCGACCACCCAAAAAATAAGAACAAATCATTGGAAATTGCAGACCAGGCGGTCAATCGTGTAGTGAACAAACAAAAATTATAACGAGCTGAATAAAAGTCCATTCAGATAACACTTTCCCAGTCTACACGATCACTCAATAAATTTATAAATATTTTTAAAAGAATTATTGTAATAAATTAGCTGTTGCAACATTTTATTGTTTATGTATAGCAAATATTTGTTGATGGACCTACAACAAGAGAACAACACCCACACACGGATTAAATTTCTTTATTTACGTTTTTCAAATTTGTTTTTTATTGGTTTCCGCAAATCCAACTCATGCAACATTTTGCATATGAGCGAAAATATCTCCGATTAATAATTTTAATTTATTTCCATAATAAATCGACAAGCATTTCAATTTCAACTTCAGATATTTCAGACATTCGAATCTTAGAGTCAATTAAATGCAGCAGGGAAAAATGAGCCCACAGGTAGTTTGAAGTTCTTTTCATTTCTATGAGTCCATAAAGTTCGAGTTTTTAGCATGCAATAAGTCTCTAGATTGCTTGTCAATTAGAGCTGTAAAACATCGTGTCAGAAACATGAAACCCTTTTAAAGTTCCAATCGAAGTCTATGGAGTCGAATTTCATGCGATGTCCATTAAGTAGCGGGCGCAACTAATATTAGCAATATTTACAAGCAGTTCTCACTCCAAATGTGTAAATGGATATTTTTAATGTCCGATGCACATTTTTCTTTGTGAAATAAAAGCTGTCTTAGAGCGTAAAAAAGTTAATAAACATGTCTAGATTACTGTCCGGGAGGTTTTAAACGTTTTTCTTTCTGTAAGCTTTTCCGATTTGTTTTCTCTCGCGGATTTAAACGCTCATGTCATTCCATTTATGCAAATAAATCCTCACAAAACTTTATAACCAAGACCAATTTTATCTCGATCATCTCATCTGTGTTGTTGGAATGCATTCTCGAGGTAAAAGAATTCTTAATTCGCGAATTTATTCGATTTGCAATAAATATTCAAGTGGAAAGACTTCAATGATTGGGAAGGAAATGCGGTTTATACGTACATATGTTGATTTCTTTCTCTCTCATTATTATTAATTTTCAATAAATCTTTCCTTTACTTTTCTTTCTTTCTTTCTTTTGTGTTGCGTAAAATTTTGCAATAAATCCAAATTTTCTTCATGTCACTTACAAAGCAATAATCGCTTTCAAAAGCTCATAATTTTGTTCATTCAATTGAAATCGCGTTTCAAGAAAGTGCTCAATGTTTATATTTTATAGCCATTTAATTGCACATAAAAAGTACATCTCAACACGACCACATGTAGCATTCAATAATGTGGAGGTGTTCTCAATGTTCTCAGTCCACGCTATCGCTTCAACCGATGTGCTGCTTCCAATGTGTTTCTTTTCCCATCGAACACAACACGAGATATCAGCATGCTTCCTTAAATTATTGTCAGATTTCATTAATTATGAACGATATAATGGACTCTAAAAGTAATAAATCGAACGTAAAAGATTCATAAGATAAGATCTGATGTTTGTGTTCATGGTAATGACTTCTCGTAGGAAAGAATTTGTGTTCAGTTAGTAATGAAAAATTTGTTTCATTCAAAAATGTGATTTTGGAATAAAAAGAATTTAAATCAAAATATGTATACAAGTGCATGAAATATATGCAAAAATATCAAACATAAACGGAATTTATTTTGTAATCGAATAAAGAATTTATATCTTAACAAATTTTTACAACATTCATTAATCGTTGTATGCTGCGCAACATAAATTGCATGTTGTTCTTAATACTTGTCTTGTTTTATGACTCAGCTGCTTCTTTTCATACATTTTCCACCTCCATACAGCTTAAATCACGATCAGAACATAAAAATTACTTCAAACATTTTATGATTTCATCCTGTGCAAACAAATTATTGACTCGCAGTTGAAGAAAATGTTTGTTAAAATGTTGGAGGTAAATAAAATTCAACTGAACAATTAATCATGTTACAAATTTTATTCGCTTTTGATTCTCTTCTGATACCTTAATGGTCTTCAAATATTTTTTAAACTTCTCATTTGCATAAATTCATCATTTAAATATGAGCCACACACCAGTTTTTATTTATGACTTTTTAATGAGTTTCATAACAAAACCTCAAAGCTATTTAAAGCCATTCAGTTATGATAAACATTTCAATATCTTTTTACGAGATATCTAAGAGACTTATTTATTTTTCATCAGAATATTTATAATCCAAAAGTAAATAAACAATTGAATTCCCTCAACCCTGAACTCATTCACTTTCTGCCTTTTGCATCATGTGGATGCAGATGCTGTTATGGTTTGTTTACATTTATACTCTGAGAGGATCAGTTCAAATTATCATAAAAATTAGATTATTCTTGAAGAAGGGTTTTTAGGATCACTTAGAGCGTGTTGTTGTGCAAATTTGGCATTTGTTTTAAATATTTAATTTAAAACTAAAGTAAAAAATCACGAAGAAAATTTTTCATGAATATTTCACAAGAAAAAATAATTTATCTAATCGATTTAACATTCTCAACAAATATCATTAATTTTGATTCATTTATAAATTAATAAAAAATATTTTCTTCCATTGTTAAATTAACGCATTGATCGTAATAAAAATTTTCAACCAATCAAAAGCGTGGATTTTGACTCCGCCTTGTTTCACTGAAAGAAAAATTTTCCAGATCTTCAATTTGAAATCATTTTCATCATGTGAAACATAATTTTTCTCTCCTTTCTCACTTTATTTACATTTATCACTCGTTTTAAAAACTCGCTTGACTTCATTCAAATGATGTTTGGCTTGTACAGAATGAAATCATTGTGTTCGTGTGTTTCGAAGAAAGAAAATCTTACGGATGAGTGAGATCAGTTTCGTACGATATTTCAACGGGTTAAGATCGCAATCATTTTATTTGCTTGATTTTTTTATTTTGTAAAAAATGGATTCGATGGAAACAGAAAGTGTTTGTTCAAATAGTTCATCTGATATCAATATACCAAAGGATTATAGTTTATCTTCAACAGATATGAATATGAAAAGTAATTCTGTTGAGACAAATAACAACACAATCAGTAAATCGATGAAGCTGAATTTCGGTGTTGAAAGATTGCTATCAAAATGTGATAGACAAATTGAAAAAGAAGATCCAATTGATGATATGATAATGAATAAAAATTTAATTAATAAAAATATTTATTCACCCAATGTTCACGATAATGAAGTGCTGTTGAACTTAAGTGCCAATAATATCAATGAACCGGAAATAGGAAATCATCAATTAGAAATAAATTTATTGCATCAACAACTTACACACATAAATAATGGATTAGCAAATCAAAACTTTGTGTTGAAACCATTTCCGATACGATTCGGTAGGAATCACAATGGTAGGGTTAACTTCATACAGAGCTCTATAAATTTTATTATAACCAATTAGAGTCAAATATAATTTATTTGAACAACACTTCCTTCTCATCCTTACGACTTAATTAATAATTAAATGATTTAAGTAATTTTTTTGCAATAAACTTATTTGATTTTTCTACCATATGGTTTCAATCTTTACTCAGGAAAAGTATATTTAAACAAATAGCTGGAAATTTGTATGATTTTTCTCAAGCGTATAAAAAGCTTACAAATTTAAATCGACTCGCGAGAAATGTTTTCCATGTGCGCCACAAAGCATTACAATTTTATTGATCCCCGGAGAAAGAGATTTTTATTGCAACTTAATGAAATGCTAGACTGATGATTGTGTAAACAAATCATTTGATAATGAAGCGTAATAATTAAGTTTAATTGAATAGAAATCACAAGATACTTTGATTCTTTGAAATGATATTCGATCAAAAGGCAAAATTAGGATCCAGATGTGCTTGAAATGTCATCACTTCAATCCTTTTCAACTGTTTCGTTTCATTATTTAATCATCATCAACCGATCTTTTTCGTGTCTCATCCACATCGTTCCTAAAATAAGATTTTCCATTAAGTGTAAACAATTGTCGAAACAATTTGCTTATAAATAAATTGATGAGATTTTTCCCATCCCAATTTAGTCTAAATAATTACACTTACATAAATTGTGAATGACGAATTTATTTTTTAAGATATTTTAAGCATCCGACGGATAATTCCAATTTCTTAGAGAAAAAATTTTCATATCCCAATCATTAACATTCATCTGTTAATATTCGAATAAAATAACTTTAAAAAACGCATTACTATTTCACGATTATCTATCTTAAATTAAAGCTGCAACAATTAATTAGACTAATAAAAATATCAGGTTGTTAATTAATACGATTGGTGAATGAAATTTAAATTCACCTTTCAAATTTACGAAGATCATTATGGACCTAAAGAAAAATTACTTTTTTCAATTCGTTTGAAGAAAATTTTTATTAGAAAATTCATGAATCGTTTGTTTACAATTACATATCTACAACGTTAGCACAATGAAAGATTTTCTTTTTAGGAAATTCAAAGGCAACGAGAGGCAATTTAGAGTTTTGTTAATTGAGAATAAATATTTGGGAAACGTGAAAAAGTTTTTCATCAAAAGAATCGTTTCGGAAAAGTGAGAGGCTCAAGAAAAATTATTTAGATTAAAGCGTTGGAAGATCTTTACGTCTGAGAGTATTATTGGGTATAATAAAGATGAAAAGCATTTCAAGTTTACTTGCAACGATTGCGAGACTTTCTTTCATGATTTATTTGAGAGCAAACTGAATTAAAGATCGACATAAATCAAAGAAAAGATTTCAATTTATTGATGAGTCGGAAAAGGAAGCAATTAAGGTAATTAAACATTCAATAAATTTTCTTTTAATTGCAGGATTTTCACATCAACCACCGAGTTATTTTCAATCAAGTTTACGAAAGGTGACGATGACATCAAACATCTCGAATTCGGCGCCATACCCCAACATTCATCCATATCATCACAGCATCATGAGACTACCGGGAATCAATCACTTATCGCCAAATAATAACATTACGCAATTCTACAATCAAAAGATCTCGAAATCTTCATCAAATGAAGCGAAATCTCAGCAAAATTCAACTACAAACGGAAGTTCAAATGTTAAGCGAAAGCGATCGTGGAGTCGAGCAGTGTTCAGTAATCTTCAGCGAAAAGGTCTCGAACGGCAGTTTGAATTTCAAAAATATATCACGAAGCCTGACAGGAAGAAATTAGCTGCAAGATTGGGATTGAAAGATGCTCAGGTTAAAGTGTGGTTTCAGGTGAAACGAAATTTTTTAATCAAATCTTGAATGAATATTAAAAGATGTTCGTTTTAACAATTAGAATCGTCGTATGAAATGGAGACACACAACAAGAGGTACAACAATTCCCAATAAAACAATTAATTCGAGTGAAAACTCAGAAATTAATGAAGAAGAAGATCATTTCACATCAAGTAGTAGCGATGGTGAAGATGGTGACATCGATGTTGTCACAGATAATTGAAATTCATTTAATAAAATTTAATTGAGAAGTTCTAGTAAAATATTTATGTTTGTTTTAATATTATTAATGGAAGTAGAATTTTCTGACGCTTATCTAGAAGAAAATTCAAATTTCCTTTAATAGCTTTACACCCTCCATTACGCTCAAATTCAAACCTCTAAGATGATCATGATCATTGTTTACAAGTGCAAGAAACAAAAAGTTTTCTCAACCCTTAAGAGACTTCTGGAGAATCTTAAATCTCGACAGTGATGTGAAACATCTTCATTTGTGTGTATCATCTATTTCCAATTCTTTTCCTCGCTCCGTTTTCATAAGAAAAAGAAAAGATTGAGATTTGTTTATAATTTTCAACATCCTAAAAATCTGTTTACGAATGAAGATGTGTATCGTTTGTGTACATGATATGGATCGTGGGTGTTGATTGAATTTCACGATCGATTTTTATTCTTTAATTTTCTTTCTCTTCAATGAGTCGTTAAGTTTTCTTCAGTAAAATTTCAAAACATTACAATTTGATTTCAGTTGTAGGTGGAATGGCGAATTGATTTTACGATTGCGATTCATTGAATATTCAAAATTTTCAATAAACTTCTGTTCATGAAATAGCCAACTTTATTTCTTTTCCTAATCTTTAGTCATACAAAATAATCATCAACAAGAAATTACTCATTTTTTCAAGAAGAAAGAAACAAAAATCAAATTAAAAGAAATTATTTCAATAATCAATAAACAATTAAAACTAATGAATTAATTAATATTCTAAACATGCTTTAAACTGAGAAACAATTTTATGTTAAATATCTTATACAATGAGAAAGAAAAATTTCTTAAATGAATAATTTATGGTCCATGTTTGATGGATTTGTTCGATGATATTTATGTTTATTCTTTAACTTCTTCTTGTGAGCTTGTAACGTTGCTGGTTTTACTATTTGCATTGCTACTACCACCTGGATTATTATTATTGTTATTAGTGTTGCTTGAAGTCATGAGACGAGCGGCAAACACACGATCTGAGGATCCTAAACGGAAATTGAATAAATAAATATTTAAATATGTTTAAAAAAATTTCACTGCCATACCTTGCGATCCTTGAATAACTTTTAATCCCTGAAGTGTCTTCAAACCTTGAAAGTTTGCCGGCAGAATAATTTGTTGTGCAAATTGGCCACTTTGAGTTCCTGGTGCTGCTAAAACTACACGATTTGTTTGTTGTTGTGGTTGATTATTCGATTTTATCACATTCTTCATTAGAAAATTGAAATAAAAGATTAATAAAGTGAAATTCTTTGATGATAATTTTTTATCTTACTTTCAGTACTTTAATAGTCGATCCTAAGATGATTGGACGCTGTCCATCGACGGCATTTGTTGTGGTTGAACTTGTCTGATTATTTACTTTCTGTTGAATCTGTTGCAACGATTGAACTTTAACAATTTGATTTCCCAACATGACAGTTTGTGGTTGTGAAGTGTTTGGTTGGTTTATGTTGCCCTAGGAAAATTGAAAATTGAAAATTAATCACAAAATTTCTATAATTAAATCGTTTATTACTTACTTGAGTTAAAATATTTCCTTGAACTTTCAATGGTTGTCCTTGTGAGTTAAGAATGAAAGCACCGTTAGAAGCATTATTTGTTTGCAACATAAGACCGCCCTGACTATTGGTGTTACCACTTGTTGATGTATTCGCTTTATTTGCTATAATCAAAGGCTTTCCACCAATATTTGCGATGTAGTTCGGCGAATTTATCATCCTATAAAAAGAGACAATTAAAGAATTATTAAAAAATTTAATGAAAGTAGATCAAAACTTACTTGATTCCTCCTGTCGTCTTAATTCCTTTGTTTGCCAATGATTGAACATTAATAAGCTTAGCACCAATCAATTGTTGTGCTGTTATTGAACCACCTGGAACAATTTTGATTTGTTGCTGTTGTTGTTGATGTCCTGGCGATGATTGATTCGATTGCTGTGATATGGAAGGAGAAACATTCGATGGAGATGAACTATTCACTGTTAATTGTGTTGGACTTGATTGTGCTTGTGTTGTTATCATTTTAGTTTGATTATTAAGTGAAATAATATTTTTTCCTTTCGACACCACCGCATATTGTGTGACTTGTGAACCTGATGATGCTGAAAGTTGAAGTAATCCCGATTGACCAGCGGTATTAGCTCCAGTTATCTTAAACGTTGTTCCTGGTTTTGTTAAAACTCCGTCCATTAATTGGCGTCCACCACTCGACACAACGCGAGCCATTACAGATGAATTTCCGCTTTCCCCACTTTTTGGTGCCATCGAGACAATAACTTGCGGTGGTTGTTGAATCATTGTTGTCATTCCTGACTTCATGACTTTTCCGACACTTCCACTGACACTCACAAGCGGTGGAGTTGGAACTTCATTCGTCTTCATCACATGCGGCTTAACAATCATCGTTTGTTGATTTCCACCAGCTTTGAATTGCTTCAACGATTGGAAGATTGTCTGCCGTTGTTGCGGTGTAAGATTAGCTGGTGAAACTGTCGTAATCTTCCCATCTGACGACGATTGTTGAATTTGAAAAAGTTGAGATTGCGAAGTGTTTGGAGAGGCAGACGAAATAGTCAAACCAGGCATCAGTTTTTGTTGTTGATTGTTTGTCGCAATGATTTGATTTTGTTGTCCTTTCGCTTTCTGTTGTTGAACAATAACATTCGTCAGAATTTGTTTCTGTTGCGAAAGCATCGTAACAGGCGACGTTTGATTCTTCTGAATGCCAACTGCGCTGATGATTTTTCCACCTTTTTGATTTTGTAATGCTGATGATGTTAGAATAATTTTCTGTGGATGTTGTGGGCTTATAATATTCTTCCCACCACTTGTATTCACTTTAATTAAATTCTTTTGTTGAATAACTGATGTCGATGGTGATTTTCCTGCCACAGAAAGTGCTGGTGGTTCATTCTGCTGTTTCATCGGAATTAAATAACTTGACGATTGAGGTGTTTGATTGACAATCAACGGACTTGTACCAACTTTCTTTGTTCCTATAATTGAAGTGACTTTAGGTGATTGAGAACGGTTTGAATTTATTATCAAAGATTGTTGTCCACTACTATTTACTGGAGATGATTGATAAGAACCAATAATCGATGTCGACGTCGCAAAACGAATTGGCGAAGCATTTTTCAACGATAATCTTCCCTTAACATCAGAAGTCTTAACAATTGGCGTTGTGTGTGCGTCAAGTGATGCTTCAACATCGATCGCTTGATCATTTCCAGTCACACTTTTGATGTAACGTTTCGGTGAGATCTTCAAAGGCGGCGGTGATATTTGACTCTTATTCTGCTTATCAAATGTCGTCAATGATTGAATTGGCTTAACACAAGCAGCTGTCGTTGTTGTCATTCCTTTCGTTTGATAAGTTCGAATTGCGAGATTGGGCGATGAAACCACAGCACAACGCATTGCTGATGACGGAATTATCATCATCTGTTGTTGTTGCCCATCAAGCTTCGTTGCTTTCTTAAAAACTGGCTTCTTCTGCTTATTAAAGATTTGTTGTTGTTGCTGATGAATTCGCTCAAAGTCCATTTCACTTCGATTTCGATGAACATAAATCCACAATTTACGCTTCGTGTCGTATTTTATGCATGGATCTTGTTCGGTGTGCATTCTATCTAAAGCACTGCTAACAATTGATTGAATAATCACGTCAGATATTCCCGAAGCAATATATTGACTTGATTTTAATAACTCGCAAATGTCCCAGCGTGTTCCTTCACCATTTGGTAATCGTGCAGCAGCATCACGAACTAAAGCAAGAATTGTGACAAAGTTTGGACGTTCAGCGATGAGCGTGTTGTGATCGCGTGCTTTTGAAGCCGCTGGCGATTGTGAATAAATTCCTTTCAACGGACCAACAACACTTTCATAACCATGTTGACGATATGTAAAAGGAAGATGCGGATTTTCATATCTTTGACGTTCTTGTTCTTGAAATTCTCGAATTTCACTTTCACTCGCTGTTTGAACTTTCCACTCCGTTCGACAACGATCATTCGGAGGTGACACAGCTTGCTGCAAGTGATTCTCTTCATTCTTCTCCGGACTTATGAACGTCTTTCCAAGATTTTTATTCTTCAACACATTCACAGCTTTAATTCCCATCTCGTGTCTTCGACTCAACCAATATTGATAAAGTGAAACCATTCTTGTGTCCGAATCACGACCAGCACCAATCCATTGATAAATATTTAATTGCGATTTAAACTCAAGATATGGAACGAAATCTTCAGGTTGATCTTGGAACTCTCCTGATAAGAAATGAACAGCTGATATTAATAAGCCGCCCCAATCATTCGCTTGTGTAAACCAATCATTCATTGGCGCGATTGAATTTGATAACCAAATGTTTGTTCGATTTCTCAACTCTTCCAATTTCATTCGATGATCACGTGTTGAACAGAAAATATCACGAATGAGACTTAAGAAGCAAGCTTGAAGTTCGTGACGTGATTCGGGTGAATTGTCAATGTCGTCTTCATCACAACTTTCAATGAAGTCCATTGGATCTACAGGTGGGGGTAATGGTCGTGGATTTATAACAATTTTCTTCATTTGTGAATTGTTTTTATTAACAAACGAACTTTTCATGACATTTCCGGCGTCAATGATAATTTTCTTTCCTGCTCTTATTTGTGTGTTGCTGTTTTCAGTACTCGATCGTGGACGTTTTAATGGAACTCTTCCCGATTGCTGCTGTTGAATTGTCTTAGACATTTTTTGTTGACGAATTGGAAGTTTTTGTGATCCTTTCACTTGTTGATCATCATTTGGCTCAACTTTTATGATATTCGCTTTGATCCAATCTTCTTCATCTGTTTCACTCTGAGTTTCATATTTTTTTGTTGTGAGATTTCCTGAGTTTTTATTTGTCATTTTTAAGTTCTTTCCAATCATTGTCGATGAACTTGAACCGGTGAACTTTGTCGTCATCATTGAATATTGATTATCATGTTTCATTTTTGATTCCATGAGAAGAGATTTTCTTGAATTTGATGCGTTAATGCCTGTCATGAGCTTCTTTGGATTTACTGTTAATTGCGTACGACTGAAGATATCCTTAAGTTTAATTTCATCAATTTCCATCTCAGGATGATCCTAAAACATAAGAAAAAAAAAAAATTAATCATTGAGATTAAAGAAAAGAAAGAAGAACTCACCGGTTCAATTAACTTTCGTTTTTTATAACTTAGAAGCATTTGTTTGTATCTTTCAGCAGATATCGAATGACTTGTTAAATGATCCCAGTTTTTCTCTTTGGTTGAAGTTGTGCCGACAATTCTAAGTTCAGCTCCTGGACTTAAACTTCCCTGCACATAACAAGCAAAAAGAATATTTAAAGAAAGAAATTTGAGATTTGTGATAATGAACAAACCTGCTCAGTGAATTGTTTTATTTGTTTCTTTGTAAGTTGGACGTTAATTCCATCAGGAACGGTTTCATCGTCAGATAGTTTCACACCAAGTTCTTCAGTAATTTTTGATATTTCTTGAAAATATCTTCGATTAGCTCGCATAGCAGCTGATGATGATGAAAGACGTGGGACGGATGAGGATGAGTGTGGAAGTTGAGGCAATGATCCTGGTGGGCATCTGTAAGCACTTCTCAGTAGCTTCTCACGTGAGCAAACAAGTTTTTCGGCTAATAAACTTATTCGTTCACATTCCTTTATTTGCTGCTCTCTTTCTTCAGCTTTAAGAATACTTCTTCTGTAGTATGCAATGTCAGGACGATAATTCCCATCCTGAAGATTACTGTGGAACACATCAAGTGGTGTTTGATTGAATCTCGTGAGAGTATTTGCGAAAAGCATTTCAATTGTCTTTTCGCGTTCTTCACCATTATTTTGAGGGAATTCAGGCAAAAGGTCCAACAAGTGGGTTTTCTCATTGCCTGAGAGTAAATTCCATGTATCGATAGAAAAGAATTCTTTGAATATTTCAGAATGCTCGCAGAGATCTTTCGGCAAATGAAACTTGTGATCCAAAACTTTTGCAACTTCAACGTTATCACTCAATGACTCATCGTTACTTTCAACTGTAGAATTTGCAGTGACTTCTGAGCCATCAGAATCACTGTCTTCGGGCATTGTTGAACGATCACAACTCGTCATTTCTTCAGCTTCTTCAGTAACCTAAAAACTTTATTAATTCACAACCAAACTCAAAACAATTGTTTGCATTTGTAGCAAAAAGTTAATTCTTTTTTCTTCTGAGCTCACATTCACTTATGGAACACAAATAATACAAACAATACTATGCAGTTTATTTCAATGCAGTGGAGTATTTTTAATTGATATTATTTTCCACTCTCCTCTGATTAAATCTTCAGAATTTTAAACTTATCTAAATGTTTCTTTCTTTAAGTAGGTATAAATATTTTGTAAATTTTCGATGAAGTAGAAAAATTATATAATTTTGTTTGCCATTACGTTGCTTCTTACTCGCACCTACTTTTTTCATTCAATTATTTAAACTTAAATTTAATTAAATTCCTGTTAAAAGTTTTTGCAACTTCACTTTTCAATCGAATTTTTTATGATTTTCCACTGAAATTCGACTTTGCACCAGACTGAAGCTTTAATGAACGATTTAAATTATTGATAGAAGCCATCAGTTTTTTTCTATCGACTACTAACGCGTGTGAAATGGAAAAAAGTATTCTTTTCTGCCAATGTATTTTTTAGCAGCCCCTTTAAAACTACGACGAGTGTCTATTGCAAAGTCGAAGTTTAGGTGTAGAAAATTTTTTTGAATTCAAAGGAACTGTTAAATTTCGTCAGGAATTTATTGCCAAACTTTAAGTGTAATTCAATTGTTTAATTCTTTCAAAAGAGTCAAAAGAAAAGCTTTAAAATTAAGAAACAATTAATTTTTATTCAAAATTAACTTAAACATTTATTTAGAATTCTCATATAGGAAGTTTTGATGTCTTTATAAAAGTGAGAAAAGGAATATCTAATAATTGTAAAAGAACATTTCTTGTATAAAATTATGTTGTGATGAGTATTAAAAGCAGAATGATATAGTTTTTATAATTAACTAAATTAAAGTAAAAGTTTGATCTGTTCTTTTTCTTCTTTGCACCTTTTTCTTCGAATAATGAAATTAATTTCCTCTACTGAAAATAAGACTTTTTAAGCAAGAAGTTCCTTTTTTAAAGCGTTCGATTTCTTTCCTCGACATTTTGGGCAGAACCTGAAAAGTATTTAATGAAAGAGCTCGTTTGATATTCTATTAAAGATTTTACTTACCATCTTCCCTTCGGTGGCTTTTTTATGCCAACACATGCGAAATGAAACCATTCTATTGAACAACTTTCATTTTCACATTCAACCATTGCGCCAAAACTAATGCGATTACAAAGGCAATAAAGCGGTTCATCAAGTTCCTTTTGTGAAATTTCTTTGTGGATTTCGGTATCACCTGGTTCTACTTTTATAATGTCCTTGATTTTGCGTCGTTTCCGTTTAACTTCCTGCTTAAAAATAGGAATTTTCTTTAGCTCTTGATTTTTCTTTTCATCTTCATCTACTTTCATAAGCGCCACATTGGCAAGCATCATTAAATTGCAGGCTTCAACCTCATTATAATCTGTAATTGCTTCACTTTGTTTATCATCACATAAAAGATTTTTTGGTTTCCTTCCACGCTTCTGTTTCTGTTTATTTTGTGAACTCGTTGAATAATTTTCAATAAATGATGAAGTGGAGGGCTCATTAGAAATATCACCTTCGATACTTCCTGAATCATTTTTAATTTCCTTCTGTTTGAAGGAAATAGCAACCTCTTTAACCTGTTCTGTTACAAATTTACGAAGTTCCTTAGAACCTTCCGATTTCTCATCAATCTTATCCTGGAGGTTATTTTGGAGTCGAGCAGTTTCTTTCTTTCCACCATCATCTGGTTCAGCTATTTTATTAGTATCATTTACAAGCAACAATGATTTAGGATGTTGCTTATTGTGTTTTGAAGGTAACCTTTGTGCTCGCACTAGTTAAGAGGAAAAGAAATTATTCCTTTGATTTGTTCCTAATTAAATTTTAATTACCTGGCACACCATCAACGTATTCAAAGTAACATTCAACAATTTCTGAATCTGTGGTGCTTTCACAATCTGCAGAGATTGTATCGGAACTGGATGATATATTTGATGACATGTTTCTTAAAAAGTTTAACACCGGTGTTAGAGATGAAAGATGGAATATTCACTAACTGTGTAGCCATGCTAGTGTCACTTTGTGAATTTTCGAGGGGCTTTTTAGTACACAACGAAAGATTCATCGAATTTAGTACATAACGAATCTTTCGTTAAAAAGCTTTCCCAGTTTTTGAACAAAGACATTTTCTCACAAGCCATTTTCAGAATTTAACATTCGATTCTTCTAAATTCATTCCGTCACTTAAATGAATTAATAATTTATACGCAATGGTAATTATCATTTGTCTACATTCAATCTCATTTTAATTGTTTTAATATTTCAAACAGCTCACCGACTTTGTCAAAAACTTTTGTCCTAAAATATTGCGAGATGTTAATGAGAGCGAAAATATCAAAAAACTCTGCCATGACTGGTTAGAAATTGCATTCAACTTTTGCATTGATAAAATTTTCAACAAGGAATCAACTTCACAAAGAATCTGGAAATGGATTCTTAACTTTGTATCTCAGAAAAGATCCATAGAACCCTTCATTGAAACGAAGTACAAAAGTTACTTCCAATCACCAACAAATTTAACAGCAACAGAATGTGTCGACGTCTTTCGCACAATTTACGACGATTTCCAAAAGATTACCTTGAATGAAGCTTCTGAACAATCTCTCATCAAAACTCAAAGTGCTAACATTTTCGAAGAAAAAAATTCAATTGAAATCAACTACTTCATCTTAATCATAAATGTTCTTCTTATTGCTAGTTTCATGGTCGTCATGTTTGCCATCAAGAAAATGAAACGAAATTTCGAAATTGTCAAAGTTTTACGAATAAAAGATACAATTCGTAATGGTGACAGTCAACATGAGACTGAAATCCTTCAAATTTCAGCGCCAACATTCAATTCATTACTTGATGAGTTGGAAATGACTGAAAATTCTGTTGAAACTACAGCAGAAGCTCTTGAAGGAAGTACCGATGGTTCAAGAAGGATTTATGATACTTTACGACCGCTCGCAATATCGACTCCGACTTTAAAAGATAAACGAGGATTGACTGCAACAAAAAGAACAACGAAACGAAAATATTCAGAAAACTTAAAAAATGAAGAAAATACTTCCAAATCGCCGTCATCAAATAAACCACTTACAAACATTGATAACCGACGAAATTCTTTAATTCCTGTTCGAGCTGCAAAGAAAAAGTGAACAAAATCAAAAAGTTATTGAATGAATTTATATTAACATTTTAATTTTTTAATTTAAATATCTACATTGCAATTTATGTTTTCTGTGTTTGACAATAAAATTAAAACATTTTGCTCTCAAAAACTTCTGTGAAAATTTCCATAATTGAGCGTTCACATTGATGAAAAACTTTATCACAACCAGAACTCGTTGCTGTTCGTCCAATTTTTTCTGCTTCAATGTAATCGTAATCGCTCAGTTTACTGACAGCTTCAGCTGTTGTTGATGGGCTGTTAATAGATTGAAGGCCTTTAGAATAAATATTGGAACAGCTCAGAGAAATAAAATTTATTTACGTGAAGAAAACGTGGAAAAGTTCACCCATAAGGTGTTCACTGAATTCAACCTCAGCTGATTCACAAATCGCCCTCAAAACGCAAACTCGACCATTAAAACCTTTGCTAAATGAGAATTAATTAATGAAGACTCTCTTGATGATAAATCGAATTTATGGTAATGATTCTCACCTTTCTAACATGAAGCTTAAAGCATCATAAACAGCCCAACGTGATGAAGAAAAATCAACTTCATCAGTCTTCGTACTCGGTTCAGGTTCCATATTGAAATGTTTGAATTGTTCGTCCATTCGTTGACGTTCCAGAATGTCTTCCTCAAACTGATCATCAAATTCATCATCATCGTCCACTTCATCGTTCTGAATGGTTTCATCTCCTTTAACTTCAACTTTTCCTTCATAACTTTCATATTTCTGACCACTAATGGGATCTGTCTTTGTTTCACGACGTTTTCTACCATCAGGAAAAGGATGCCAAACGTTATCAAGGTTGGCATCGTTCGTGACATTTTCGAATATATCAGGAAAGAAACCGAACTTCAATTGATTCGCTGTTTCAGGCTTTGATGAAGGAAAAACGATTTTATAAAACAAAATTTATGAATTTGGAAATAAAAGAACGAAAGTTACTAAATAATATTGAGCTTTCATGACCATTCCAAAAGTTATCGCTTCGTCCTTCAATTGCAAAGGTATGCCAATACCAGAAATCAGTTGATGTCTTGTTGGAGCTGTTGGTGGCACAACAAGAAGCATGTTAACTTCGTTAAATGTCACTTTAAATAAGATAAAAAGAAATAAAATTTTGTTCACTTCCATCTCGTCTAAGATTGAATTACAAACTGAAGAACTTTGAATTCACAAATCTACTCAATAACGACTGTTCATTGATGTCTATTTACTTTAAAATATTAGAGTAGTTGAAGGTGATAATTGTAATTTTATTAGAAGTACGTTTTTTAACCGTTAAACTTTACAGTTACATCTTTTCAAGAATGAAAATTATTATAGTTGAAAGTTTCAATTATCTGAAGATTTTTAAAATGAAAATTAAAAATTTCACTTTCATACACTTCTGTGAAAATGTCCATAATTGAACGTTCACATTGATCAAACACTTCATCACAACCGAGACCATCTTCATTTCGTCCCATGACTTCAGCTTTAATGTAATCTTAGGTTTGCTGACAGCTTTAGATGGTGTTGATGGACTGTGGATAGATTGATGACTTTAAGCATTAAATGAAAAAGGAAGAAAAAGAATTTGTTTATGTGAACAAAACGTTCACCCATAAAATGTTCACTGAATTCAACCCAAATAGCTCGCAACATACAAACTCAGCCATTAAAAAAGCCCTTGCTGAAAAAGTCACATAAATCAGAAGATTTTGCCAGAATTGGGATTAAAATTTTGTGATTTCTACCTTTCAAGCAGTGAACTTAATGCGTCATGAATCGCCTAACGAGAGGAAGAAAAATCGATGTCATCAGTCTTCTGGGAGTCAAAAGAATCGTATGATGCTTCAACATTTCCATGTGTTCATTCATATGCTTCCGGTCAAGAACATCTTCATCAAATTCATCATCAGCATTAAATTGCGTGTCATTTCCGAGAAGTTCATTCCCAAAGACTTCGACATCTTCTTTGTATCTTTCACACTTCTCTCCGGGAATCGGGTCAGTTAACACTTCTCGGCGCTTTGCATTGGGAAAACGTGTTCATTCAAATCCTGAATTATATTCTCGAAGATCCAGGGAAGTATGGAAGTTTAATTTGATCAGAAGTTTCAGGCTTGAGAAAAGTTCATGAAACATTTATTCATAAATCTACTGAAAATCTATTTCAGCACATTGCCTCTCAGATTTTAATCTATTCAAATATGAATATTTAAGTACACACATTTGTTTGACTTTTGAATTAGATCAATTGAAGTGTTGGATGAGAAAGTGACTTAGAATGCTTTCAATGTTACATAATATATTTTTTTTCATGTAGGACGAAAGGTGAAAGAATCATTCAAAAGAATTATAATTGCATACTTTTTAACAATATTCACAAAACTTTCGATGTGCTCTTTAAGGTTTTGTAATAAATTTTCTTTGAGGGCTACAAAAATTGAAAGAAATAACAAAAGTTTCTGATAATTTCTAAAATAAACTGACTTTGTTTTATTTATTAAAATCGGCTTTTCACCATCAAAACAATTCCATTTTCTGGTCTTAAGATCAACTCAGAAATCAGTTTAAGATTTTCATGTTCTTTTGAAATAAAAACCTTAAAATTTCTGATCACTTTTGATACGATACTTTTCATCTCCAACATGGCAAACTTTTGTCCAATGCCTAGAAATGTGAAGTTACAAAGTTAAACTTTAGAAACATTACTTAAGTTAATTTCTCTTACAATTTCTTGGACCAGCACTGAAGGGAACATAAGCGTACGGGTTGTTCTTTTCATTGTTGGTTTCTACTTCAAATCTCAGTGGGTCAAACTTCAATGGGTCTGGATAAATTTCAGGATCTCTTCCTAAGAAGAACGGTGAAATACTAACGCTTGTTCCTTTGGGGAGTGTCAGGTGACCGAGTGTGGTGTCTTCTTTCAAATTGCGACCAAAGAATGGAACTGATGGATACAATCTGAGAGTTTCTTTGATGACCATTTCGAGGTAGTGTAAATTGTTGAGTTCATTCATTGTCACTGGTTGTTGTGGATCGTTTCCAAGATTCGTTCTGCATTCTTCGAAAACCTTTTCTTGAATTTCAGGATATTTTGCCAGATTGTATAAAATGAAACAAATTCCACTAGAAGTAAATAAAATGTTAAGAGCATTCAAATTTAATTATAGAATTAACTAAATATTAACCTTTTAGTCGTGTCGTGACCCTCAAACATAAAAGTATCAACTTCTTCCCGAATATCTGAATTGCTTAAAGGATTTCCGTCGATTTGCGATTGCAACATAAGGTCAAGGAAAGCTGTTCGCTTCTTGATCCCAAAATCATTTTCATTTTTATCTGCATGACTTGTACCTTCTTCTAACTCTTTCCGTCGTGAAACAATCACAGAATCAGTGAAATCGTGAAGAATTTTTAATAATTTTTGTTCTCGTTTGGACATTTCGGTGAATTGGTATAAGAAATTGATTCGTTTAAATTGATCAAACGACCGTAAAAATATGATGTGAGAAACTCTAACCGAAGGAGAAATTCACCATAAATTATTATTTTTAATGATAACTCAACTCACTCTGCTACAGCTTTAATGTATTCCGATTCAGAGTTCATTTGAGCGTTTAATTTGAATCCCATTGCTGATTCTGCAACAAAAAATTTATTATAAAATTTCTTATCTGTTTGATAATTTACTGAAAAATTACCACAAATTACATCGAGTGCGTAGAGTGATACCGGAGAAAAAAAGTCAATTTCTCGACCTTCACACTTCTTCAAATTAGATACGAAAATCTTTCCATGACGATCCATAACTTCAGTGAATTGTTGAAGAATTTTAAAATGAAAAGCTGGAGTAATAATGCGTCGTCTTTGATGCCATTTCTTTCCGGTTGTTAACAAAAGACCTATTAACAAACAATTGTTTAAGTGTTCTAAGATAATTTAAAAGTTATCAACCATCATTAAGCCATCCTTTCACAAATTCATATCCCGTCGATTTATCGAGCAATTTCTGACTTGATAAAACTGTTTCAACGATCTTCACATCTTTAACAAATACAACAGACTTGAACGGACTAATATCAAGTCTCCAAACAGGTCCCAACTTAGCTGTAGCATCTTGAAAACTTTCGAACAATTCAGAAGCAGATTTTCCAATTAGTGAAAAACTGCTACCGACAATTGGATAAGATTTATATGCAGGAATTTTCGAAAGTAAAATATTTCTTCGATAATATTTCGCTTGATACCAAACTATAAGACTTGTGATTATGAAAAGAATAAAAGTTAAAAATGCCATTATATGAAGTGCGACTATTGGCAATTCAAACAAGACTGAAATTATTTTTCTTCGCGTTCCTATTTTTACTATCAGTAAAGTGAGACAGTAAAATATTTCAAGCTTAGTTCGTAGTTATCACTGCAGCATCTTATCAAACGTTGTTAATTATTCTTTTTTACCTTTTTTGTCATTAAACACTAATCGATGCTAACTTCGAAATAACATAATAATCAATTTGAAGAATTTTACAGAATAAGAGCTTTTATAATTAGTCTGAATTAAAGCATAAGTTTCATGTTTGTTTTCCTTTGTTTTTATGATTATCTAAATAAGAGCGATAACGTAATTGCAAGTCATATTTGTTTATAAACTCTTATCTACTATTGAACGTATTTTAAAGTGTTATTTCATTCTGAAAAAAGTTATCATCGTAGTAAGTAGACAGTGGACAAAGCTCAACAACTTTTGATGTGATAATCACCAATTAATCGAATATTTGATCACTTCAGGTTGTGCTTTGCTAACATATTTTCGGAAGTTCCTTGTTACATAAATCATAACTTTTAATTTGATTCAGATTAGTTCATGTACTGTCTACTTATCATGTCACATTAAAATTTATCTGCAATGACATTTTAAAATTGACACATTCTGAGAATTTTTTGAATGCTAAAGAAATTTATTTTCGTGAATTGTTTCACATTATTAAATTTCATCAAATTTTCAATTTATTTTCCCATTTATGTCTTCATGATTACACGTTAGGGTAACTAATGAAATTGAATGTCATGATAGACTTCTGTGAAAATTTCCATAATTGAGCGTTCACATTGATGAAAAACTTTATCACAACCAGAACTCGTTGCTGTTCGTCCANCGGCCAGTCGAAGAGAATTCAAATAGTGGAAGTTCAAGTAAAAGTGTAAACTCATTAGCAACGTCAACATCATTCAATGCATCGCGTAAAAACAGCAAAAATTCTCTTGCAAAAGTTCAAAATCGTCGTAGACCTGAGTTTTGGGCTGATGGTAGTGTACCGCCAATAGCGTCGCCACTTGTTCCATTTCTTGTACCAAAATTACCCGATCTTGAGACCGTTGAAGATGCATCAATTGAAGTTCTTGCTTTATTGAGAATTCTTAATGGACTTAATCGTCATTGGCCTTCACTTTACTATTCCGTACCACATTCGCATGTCATTAGTCAAAGTGATTTCATTCATTCAAAGGTGAGAAAATTTACTGGAAATATTTAGAAGATAATTAAGAAAAAATTCTCTTATAGATTGCTGCAAAAGCAAGTCGCCAACTTCAAGATCCACTTGTAATTATGACTGGAAATCTTCCAACATGGTTACAAGAAATCTCAACAGCATGTCCATTCTTGTTTCCTTTTGAAACACGCCATTTGTTGTTTTATGCCATCTCATTTGATCGTGATCGTGCTTTACAACGTTTAATTGATACAACACCAGATCTCAATTCTGCAGATACATCAGAACGTGTGACACCACGTCTGGATCGTCGTAAACGTGCAATATCACGTGAAGATATTCTTAAGCAAGCTGAAGTTATAATACAAGTAAGTAGACATAAATTGTCATCATAGATGGGCATGTCTTGCGCTGGTAGCGCAAGTTCCTGAAAAAAATGTCTTAGTAAGACATTTTTTTTGTGATACTTCCACGTAGCGCAATGTGTGGGGAAGTGATACTTCCACCAGCGCAAAAAATATGGAGGATGTGATACTTCCACGTAGCGCGAAAAATATGGGGGAAGTGATACTTTTTGGTAGCGCAAGACGTTCCGGCGCTACTTTTTTGCGCTTCGCGCTACCTGAAATTTCTTTTTAAATAAAATAATAGATTCTTTTTATCTATTTTCCTTTTAATCATTTTTTTAAGTAAAAATGAGAACAGGAAATGATTTGGGGAGATATAAGTATAGATTTCCCAAACAATTT